TTGTATATATGTACATATTATTTGAATTTTTCTTTGGTTTTGTTCACTACATTTTTGGTGGCATCTGTCCACCTTCATCAGAGTGAAAAGGTATCTTCGTTATTACGCAGCTTTTTGTTTACGCGCTTGAACACGCGTGGAGATCGGAGTTTAAACTGAAAACAAAGGAGAATGAGCACACAGAAAGAATTTTTTTTCGATCATCGCGTTTGCGTTCATCGTTGTGTGCCAACACCCTAGAAAGATTGCCTTTTTTATAGCTTGTAATTCCTCGTTCGAGGATCGTGGCGTCTCTTGGGTGGATACCATTATCAGCTCTTTGCGCGTGTACATATTCTTGAAAACTAAAAGTTATACTCGTTTTAATGCTGTGTAGGTGTATAACAAGTTTATCCAATGCATACTCTACTTTATTTTGTTGAGAGAAGATGTAAGTAGAGTACGACAGTTAATCCACTATATAGGCCCATGTTGGCCTACTTAGACATTTTACCGAGTTCTTGTGAAGGTAAATAAATGTTACCACATCGTAGAGAATGAATTCGCGCCACATGATTAGCTATTTCTACCCTCTTTAGGAAAAAACTTGATTAAAATTACTTTTGGAAAATGATCTCTACGGAGGATTACCTCGCTTATCCTTTATTCTTTTTTCGGTTTTGTTTCTCGAGGACAGTTACTAGACGTCTATCCTTTTTATCACTCATCAAATGAATTTCTTCTCCCCGCATGGGGATAGACGTTAATTTGCTTTTAAAAGTGAAACCAAAGTTTTCTTTGCAACGAAGATAATTAAGTTTACTTACATGTCAGGGCTATCCAGGTAAAAGTCTTTCACGTTACCACTCCGATTAGCTTTCAGCGCATTATATATCGACTGTACATTACTCAATACCCTGCTTCTCCCAGTCGACATTGTAATATCAAGTGGGGAGTCTTCATCACTATCAGCAAATCGGATAGAAGCGCTCAAGAAATCTAACATCGCATCATCGATGGACTTAAGTATTGAATGTCGAACGCACACCGGGAAAGTTCTGCCAGGAATGAAGAACTCACACTCAGGAAACTGGAGCGTAGCTACAATTGTTGCGAAGCCCTGGGCTCCAACGCCGATCGCATGAGTAGGTCGTTTTCCAGTGCACATTGCAGCGGCACCAAAGAGAAATTTAATTTTCTCTGTCTCGACCCTGAGCTTAACACCATCAAAAATGCCTCTTGAGGGAACCTGAAAGAGAAGAAATGATTTGAAGTAAATAAGTCGTGTATCTGGAATCAGTCTGATTTTCTGTTCTTGGAGCAGTCTTCCTAATGACTTGCAGGTTTTAAAGTCTTCTGTTCGCTGTGGCTTAATTAGCGGCCCCTTTCATGGCGCAATGCAAGCGTACTTTTACAAAGCAGCGCATTTTGATCACACAAGCCCCATCTTCGATTTAAACTCGGAAGAGGCCTTGGGAGAGACGAAAAGTGTCCTATGGAGTAGGACTGAGGCTGAAAGAGGAGTATGAAGTAGGGGTGGGGAAGGAATTTGATTTTCCTTATTCAGTCCTCACTTCTCCTTGGCCACGATAGCGAGCTAGCTAGTACCGATAACTCGCAAGCACACATTAAACTGCCTTTACCTTATCTGCTTCCTTCATTTTCCTGTCAAAGTCTTCTTCTCCTCTGATTTCCTTAAAAACATCGTAACCGATATTTTTCCCTGGAATGGTAGATTGTTAAATCATAGACACACACATTAAGGTGTTTAACAGAACTTTCCGCGGACTCTAAAGCTCAAGAACAAGATACTGTATTGAACTTCCTTTTAGGAACTGTGCCATAATTATACGGAGGGGGGTTGTAAAATGTGCCTCACACGGTCATATATAATTTCTTCAACCATTAATTATCATGTACCAGCAATATTGATTAACGATTGTAATAGGTAATTTATTCGTTAATTACCTATTACAGAACCAGTAGAGTACCACCCCTATCTTTGAGTTGAGCTTCAGTCAGACGTGAAATGGTCTGAAATGGGACCACCACATAAAACATATCATGCAGAAAAGGCAAACCGCTCACTGGAATTCCTGAGAAGGAACCTGTAAAAATGTCCACAAGAGATCAAGGAGCTAGCTTATACAGTCTTGACAAGACCACCACATAAAACATAGAACAGAAAAGGCAAACCGCTCACTGGCATTCCTGAGAAGGAACCTATAAAAATGTCCACAACAGATCAAGAAGCGAGCGTATACAGTCTTGACAAGACCACATGTAGAGCATGGCTTTGCATCAGCTGTGTGGGATCCCCATCTAAAGAAAGATGTGAAGAGTGTGAAAGCCATCCAGAGGCCAAAAGCCAGATTCGTTAAGGGTGATACAGAGGATACAGAAGGGGAGATAGCATTGTGACATAGTTGTTAAACTGCGATTTTGAATGGCCAACCCTTAGAAGTTTTTCACGAATCGTTGCATGGCCTAAACACAATTTCCATCCCAGCTCACCTGAAGGTGCCTTTAAGTTACCACACAAGATCACAGGCAACCTACATCAACCCAGGGACACGAGGAGAGATCTACCAAAACAACTTCTTCCTAAGAACAATGACAAAATACAACAGCTTGCCACACAACATACGCCACTTCAAACCAGAGACCCCTTTCAGACATTCAAGAATTTAATGCTTTTATTTGCTTTTTGTTTTTAAGAGCACCATGCACAGCGCAGTATTACTTTGCACTGTATTAACTTGATCACATGTACCAGCACATGCACTCCGTGGCGGGATGAGCAACCTTTGCCATGTAAAAATGTGGATGTAGATGTAGGAATAAAATCAGATGTGGAGAATATTAGCAATATAATACATACATTCCATTTTGCCTCCTCAGTTCCTTGCCAAATGTTGATCCTGCAAGAGTTGTTATATTTGTTAAGCGGTCACGATCTGAGAACCACAGCTAATAAGCTATGTTATGGGACCCTCTTGTATAGCTAAAGAAAATAATGAGACTGAACACATGAAAAGAGTTGGAAGTTTGATTGATAGTTTTCTAAACTAGAGACATAATCTGTCGGAGCGGACTTGAGCAAGAACTTTTAGTGTGTCTTGCTATGCGTTCCAGTATCGGGGATAATTCGTCAAGATAAACTATTTGCTTTGGTGCGCCGAACTGAAAGCTTAGCGTGATAGCATGTGCCGTCTGAACGTTCCACGTTGTTCAATTTTTTTTTAATTTTTTAAAAACCAAAAAGTATCGAACAACATAGAATAAATTCAGGGTTTAGACGAGGCCTACTCTGGGGCCTTTCAAGGCCCCAAAGTGACTTTGGGCCACTGTGGCCCAAAGTCGGTTAAAGTCGCCTTAAGTCGCCTCTCGTTAAGTCGCCTTAAGTCCCCCTAAGTCGCTCTAAGTCGTCTAAAGTCCCTTTAAGTTGCTAATCCTGGTTAGTTTAACAAGGCTTTGAACAACCCGGCCCTGGATGTTTGAGACTGCCTCCCCTAAAGTCGCGCTAAGTCGCAAT